CCAAAACCCCAAAACCCCAAAACCCCAAAACCCCAAAACCCCAAAACCCCTCAACAGAAAAATAGGTTGGTAGTTTAGAATGATATTTAAGTATGCAAAGAGATAATACTATTTATTTATGCATCAGTCTGGACATAATGGAGACTTCACTCATTCAGTTTTACTTTTCCTTTTTATAATCTTCAACTATCATCAGAGATGATACTAGTCCTATTAAGTCTTGCCTTTCATTTTGCTGTTATTCAGGAACAGCCTCCTCTATTTCTTTGGCTATCTTTTTCTAGAATTCATCGTTGAATCTATTCTCTCTCTATATCAACTTTATATTCAAAATATCCTTACATATTGGTCCATAATTTTATAAGCAATTTCAAAGTTTTACAAACCATGAAGTTCTACAATGAAGTTTCTTGTCTCATCCTTTATATAGTTTAAATCTTATGTATTCTTACATTTCCATCATTTTAATTAATGAAGGACTGAGCATTAGTCTCACCATTACCATTACTTTGATCTTAGGAATCATCCTCATCATCCTCTCTATCCTCTTCCTATTCTGCTTATTCTTTGGTAGCTTATTAGATAAGGTTGTCTAATGGATCTACTGCCATATCTTAATCGTCCTAACTCGAGCTATTCTATGTGCTGTACTCTTAAGCTTTATACTCCTCCTAATTGTTGTATTGATAATCATTATCCTCATCATCATCTTGAGCCCCACTTGATCTTTCTCTTCCTAAGAATTTCTCCATCTAATTCACATAGTCATCATATTCTGCTTCCTTTTATTCATCCATTACTATTGACTATCTTTACTTATTGTTGATCTCATTTTGTCTTCTCTGTATTCTCTGCAGGTCTTTTTCTGATATCAATATATCAAAGTCCTTACCCTTTCCAAACTTTTCATTCTTCTTCTGACTACTACTCTATTTCCTAATTACTGGCTAGAATGGCATGGCATCTTAATCTAGATCATTGTTAGTAAAACTATTATCACCGTTATTGTTGTCTAAGTCTTATTCAAGAACTGAGTTAGAAAAATCATCCTATTAAGCGCCAAGCATGTCAGGAGGTAGTCCAACAATTTCTACTTTGAAATCGCTGCCCTATTTCTTCATATCCTTTTTTTTGCTTTAAATATCTTCCTTCATTTTTTTTCTTTAGTCCTCTAGTTTTTACTTCTAGAGTTATCTCTCTTCATGATACTCCTAAAGCTTTCTTTGTTTTTACTCTCTTTCTTGCATTAATCTCCTTTATTCCTCTTCTTTTCTTCTTTATAATTCAGCCAGCATATGCTATCTTTTTTTCTCTTCAATCTCTTTTTTCATCTACATTTTTTATTGGTAAGCACTGACTTGTTTTTCCTAGGCTATTTTCTGATTGTTGCTAACTGCTGATGCCTATTTTTAAACTTAGAGCTATGGTCTTGGTTATTCCTTCTTAACTGGCTGTGGTTTGGCTTGCTATTCTTGTTTAGCTGGAGCTTACTTCTCACTCTAGGGTTATTTATCTGATTATGCCATAAGATTGTTTTGAGTCTTATTAAAGACATTTTATTTATGAAGAATAGTGTGAGCAAACTCACATTTAAATTCATCATTATTTAAGTATGTTTTAATTCTTGGACTAATTAGAGGAGATTTCAATAGCTAGTTGATATTAGGACGTTTAGTAGGATCTATACTTAGCAAAGTTCCTACTAGAGTTCTTATGTTCTAACTGTAATGCGATGGCAGAGGTGAGAATACTCCTCTTACGATTTGTAAGGCTAAAATATGGAGACTCGCACCATTAAAAGGAGGTTTTAATGCACACATCTCATATAATAGCACACCTAATGACCACATATCAGATTTGAAATTATATGGTTTATTCTCAATAATCTCAGGTGAGAGATAGTATGGTGTACCCACTATAGTTTTAGCATGGTCTACAGTTGATTGTAAAACTTTTGCAATGCCGAAATCTCCTAGTTTTGCTAAACCTTATCTTGTTAAAAAGACATTCTAAGATTTCAAATCACGATGCAATATTTTGCGATCATGTATATGCTTAATTGCAAGACAAATCTAAGTGAATAAGTTTAAAATCTAATCCTCAGAGAAAAACCCTCCCTTTTCTCTTTATTTCTTAACCATTCCAGCTAAATCGCCACCTATCAAGATGTTTAAATTAGTATTGTATTAAATTAAATTTGAAATTACCATCAGCATAGTCCATAACGATACATAATTGGCCCTTTTTCGTTTTATATACTTCCTTAAATCTAATGATATTAGGATGATTAAGCACTTCAAGGATCTTTGCCTCCTTAAAAGTCTCTCTTTTTTCTTCATCACTCATTTTAGCTATATCAATCTTTTTTATTACAGCATAGCTCTAAGATATTGATTATTTATTTATAAATCTTACTCCATCGCTGCCACATTGGACTAAGAAGGCTTTACCAAAGGATCCCTTTCCTAGGACTGATATTTTCTTATAAGTTTCAAATTATTGTGAAGGTCTTGTTGAAGTATTTTCATCTGATTAAGTACTGTTTGACTCCATGATTACTATTAGAGACAAAATTTAATTAAATTTTAATACGCTACTATTAATTTTGTCAAGATCTACCATATAATTAGACACCGGGGTTTTGGGGTTTTGGGGTTTTGGGGAGATCGGAAGAGCACA